CAGCAATGTGGAGTTGTGCCCCAAATGTCTTCTTCTTTTTTTTTTTTTTTTTTTTTTTTTTTTGTCTTTTTTTGTGTCCGGCAATGGATCGCAACCCTCAGTGTCGCGCCCGTACCGGACCAGGACTGGCAACGGGATCGCAACCCTCGGTGTTGCACCCGCACCTTGCTCAGCCAGTGAGCGGGAACCGGTCTGTATGTGGGATCTGAACCCTTGGCGGGAGCGCACCGCCACGCTCCCAAGCGGTGCACTGTAGCAGTGTGCCACCAGGCCGGCCCCCCAAATGTCTTCTTAATGTTGGAGCACACTTTACAAGTTATGGGTAAGAAACTCATGAAATGAAACATTCAAGTATACATATGGTCTGAGGACTGACAGCATCGGCCTCACCTGGGAGCTTGTTAGAAATCGAGTCTTACCCCTACCCCAGGTGTACTGAACCTGAATTGGCATTTTGAAAAGATTTCCAGGTGTCTTATGTGTACGTCAAAGCCTGAGAAGTGATGCCACGATGACCACGCTGACCTCAGTGAGAAACCATGGCCAGACAAGGGGGAGACAGGAAAATGATCTAGAAAAGCAGACAGAGGTCTGCCAGGCACAGCAGGCTGTGGCCACTTAGCAAAGGGCAAGCAAGTGAGCACAGGCCAACAGCCGGGCAGTGGGCAGCCACTGATGCACAGCACTCATTTGTTCACAGAGTGCAGATGAGGAAACTGAGGCACAGAGAGGTTCTGTGATCTGCTCAGGGCCACACAGCCATGAAGGGTGAAGCCAGGTTCAGCCCAGGTCTGGGAGACTCTGCTGCCCATCCCCCAGCCCACCTGCCCCCCAGCAGCAGGGGCCTCCCACGTACCCGGAGCTCTGGCATCTGGATGATGAGGCTCATCGGCACGTGGACGATGGGGCTCTTCCTGTAGTCCATTGGGACAAGGTTGGGGGCCAGCTCGTAGAACCGTGCATGGAGCCTGAGAGGGAAGCAGAGGAAAAATGCTAGAGGGGGTGACACCCTGAGCCCCCAGAGGCTTGATACCACCCTGCCTGGGCCTCTACCTCTGGAGCTGAAGACTCTCCTGAGTCAGGACCAAGAGAGTAGCCAATGGGAGGCCACTGCTCTGCCCACAGGCTGTGGGCTTTGGGAGGGAGGTGTGTTCTGCCAGATCCCAGTGGTAATAACCAGCTTGTGTCCCGGCCCTCTCTGTTTCCACCACCCACACACACCATCACCACCACCACCACCACCACCACCACCACCACCACCATCACCCCAGTTCCCCATCCCCGGGACCTGCAACCAGATCTCCCCCCCACACACCCTTTGGGCCCTTATAAGGGTTTTCTATGCTCTGGGCACTGTGCTAAGCACTTAACACATGTCACCTTATTTAACCCTTCTCCTCACTGTGCAGAAAGATGCTTCATAACACCAGTTTATAGCTCAGCAAACTGAAGACGTGAAAGCGATTTGTCCTAGACCACACACTAGGAAGTATCACGGGCCATGGCTGGAACCCAGGACTGTGGAAACCCAGGGCGGAAACTCTTAACCACCCCTCCTGCTGCCATTCCTGAGGGCCCATCAGAGTCCTGGCCCAGTTCTTGCCCACCCCTCCCCACCCAACCTAGGCCCTGAGGCTTCGGTCTCTGAGAGCTCTGTAAAAGCTTTCAGCCCTTACATCCTCCGGAAGCCCTGTGAATGGGCCATGGCAACCTCCCTCCAGCTAGGAACCATCGAGACCAGGCTGGCAACCTGGGCCTGGCCTCCTCACTAATGTGTCGGGTTCCCAGCTCCTGTCCCATCCTCCTGCCTTGCTCAAAAGCCCAGGGCCACACCCTCCTGGAACACAAGCCCTGCCTAACGTGCTACATGGACCTTCAAGGGTATGAGGCATCCTGACACTGTCTCACTTGGAAGCCCTCCACCCCCCATTATTCAGTCTGCCCTGTGTTTCCTTGTCCCAGTCTCTGCCATCCCAGATAATCCCAGGAACTCCCCACCTCAAGACAGGTACAAGTTGTATTCAGATGAAATTGTGCCCATGAAGTGTGGCCAGAGGAGAGGACAAATGTATGGAGCATTGATTGGGGGCCTCAGTAGGTAACCTGCCCAAGGTGAGGCCCCAGGCTGCTGGGGGTTAGGTCAAATTATGACCTCATATATCCTGCACCTGGGCCTACCCTGCCAACCCCAAAGCTAGATCAGCCTGAGTCTTCTTTTTTTTTTTTTCTTTCCTTTTTGTCTTTTTTACTGACCAGTAACGGGATCGCAGCCCTCAGTGTCACGCCCGTACCGGGGACCGGCAATGGGATCTCAACCCTCGGTGTTGGGCCCGCACCGCGCTCAGCCAGTGAGCGGGAACCGGTCTCCACATGGGATCCGAACCCTTGGCAGGAGCGCCACCACGCTCCCAAGCGGCGCACTCTCCAGTGCACCACCGGGCTGGCCCCAGCCTGAGTCTTCTAAGTAGCCTCACCCACTGACACCCCCAGGCCCACCCTTAGCAAGGCCTTTAGCACAGCCACTTAATCATCCCTTGGGTCCTACCCAATCTTGTTGTCCTGCTGTCCAGCCCTCTCTAGCAGAGCACTTAACTACTTACCCAGCTCACACAGATAACATCAGCTACTGTTTAGCAAGTGCTCACTCTGTGCAGCCCTGGGCTCATTCTCTGTGTGGATTACTCACTTTAATCCCCAAACTACCCTGAGAAGTAGGTATTAGTCTCCCATTTTTCAGGTGGGAAAACTGAGGCTCAAAGGGTTAAGTGCCTGCTCCAGCTTATACAGGCAATGAGCTGGAGCTGCAAGGAGAGGACGTGAACCCAGGACCTTTGCATTCCGATTTCTTGGCTCCTTCCTGCAAGCTAAGCCATCCTGGTGAGCACATCAGCACCTTCAGGCCTTCAGACCTTGCCCCGGGCAAACAAAAGCAAAATGCCACAGGCTCCTTTTCCCAATCACACATCCCTGTGAAAGGGCCTGAGGTCACAAGGAAGCTCCACTGGTTGGAGACAGAGCAGGAGGGGGAAATCCCAAAAACCTGTCCTTTGGGTGAGAGGGGTCAGTAAATACCAGGGTGGCAGGCTCAAGCAGGGACTCTCCACAAGAGGGTACTCGAAGGGTACTCTTTGCTCCTATTTTTGGCTTTGAGAAGAATTTTGCCATCTTTTACACTGTCCCCAAACCACGGAACACAACTTAAGTTTCACAATTCATGCACTTTTGGGACATCTGTTGCGTTTTCAACTGTTACGTTTCCCACCTGACCTTGACACTCCCCCCATGCGTTGGGGTGTCATGTTGGTGTTTCTGGGCGTTGGTTTATACCTCTAGTTATGTGAGGTGACTGTAGCAGGAGCATGAAGTCAGGCTGAGGTTGGCGCCCTGCCACGCCTCTCACTAGGGGTATGGCCTTGGGTAAGTGGGTTAACCCATCTGAGAATAAACATCCCTATCAGTAATCTGGGGACTGTCCAACCATTCTCACACTTGTAAGGATTAAATAGGATGACGTTAGTAAAACCACTTGGCCCTCATCTGGTAGCTATTAGCACGCTGTCTGCCACGTCAAGGGCTTCCTGGAAGGGCTGGACTTGGATGAGGGTCTTGGGAAGGGTTGAGGAGGTGTCTTCTGGGGTAGGAAGGCTGGCTTCTGCCCTGGCACAGAAATCTGTTCTGAAACAATGACTAAAGTGATGTTGGCTTTTTTTTTTCTTTTTTTTAAAGGAAAACCCAAAGAGAATTTGAAAACCCAGATCACTGTGGGAGAAACTAAATACTGTCAAAGAACGTCACATGTCACCCCTCCCCCCAATAAAGGGCACTGAGTTCAAGAATATTTACATTTTAGTCCTATCATAACATTCAGGACCAGAAATAATACTTACACTACTTGAACTGCACCAGAGCATGGGGCAAAAAAGTGAAAGCCTCCCAGTTTACTTTAGAAAGTTAATAAGAACACTGACACCCAGAACCCAACAGGTAGCATCCAGAATGGGCCAACAGCACTTGCACATACTAACACAAGACCTTATAAAATAACATACTGGTTAGTTCACTCGGGAGTGCATGGTGCTAATAACACCAGGGTCAAAGATTCAGATCCCCATACCTGCCAGCCACAAAAAAAAAAAAAAAAAAAATTGGTAAATCAAATCCAACAGAATGTAGTGGATTGAATTATGTTCCCCCAAAACTCACTGAAGCTTGAATTGTGTCCCCAAGTTTCACATAGTAGAAGCTTAATCCTCACTGAAACTGTTGAGGGTGCAAAATCCTATCATGGTAATTAAAAGGTAGTGCCTTGAAGAGGTGATTAGATTGCAGGACCATGCAGTACTGAGTGAATTAAAAATGGTGGTCATGGTCATGGTCTGGAGGGCTTTAAAAGGAGAGTGAATGAGGAAGTTGTCCTCTTGCTCTCTCTCTCTGATCTCTCTGCTCCACCATTTTCACAATGTGATACCCTACTGTCACTGTCATTGCCACCAAGGCTCTCACCAGATGTGTTCCCTGGACTTTGGACTTCTTAGCTTCCAAAACTGTAAGCAATAAATTTCACTTTCTTTACAAATTACCCAGTCCCATGTATTTTGTTATAAGCAACATAAATGGACTAATACAGTATTTAAAAGAATAATACATTAGGGGGCTGGCCCGGTGGCACACTGCTACAGTGCACCGCTTGGGAAGCGCGGCGGCGCTCCCACCGAGGGTTCGGATCCCACATACAGACCGGTTCCCGCTCACTGGCTGAGCGAGGCGCGGGAGCAGCGCCAAGGGCTGCGATCCCGTTGCTGGTCCCGGTCCGGTACGGGGGCGACACTGAGGGTTGCGATCCGTTGCCGGACACGGAAAAAGACAAAAAAAAAAAAAAGAATAATACATTAGGACCAAGTAGGATTTATTCCAGAATGCAAGGATGGTTCGGTGTTTGGAAATCTGTGAATATAAATCATATTAACAAGCAAAAAAATTTTTTGATCACTTTGATAGATGCATTTATGACTACATGATTGTATGGACACAGAAAAAGTATCTGAAAAAGTTATACACCACATATTTACAACTGATGGTCCCTGTGAAGTGGGAATGAAGAGGACTGAAAGAAGGAGGCTGACTTTTACTTACTACTATACCTGCTTCTGAGTTGCTTGAATTTTTAAAAGTATTTATTAATAAAAATAAAAGGTATTTTTAAGGTATGTATTATTTTTGTCAATAAAAAACCTTAGAATTCTTAGTAAAACAGAAACAAAAGGAGTTTCTGCTCAGGAGCAGAAACAAAAGGATATTTCTTTATTTCAGATCAACATCCAACATCATACTTAAATGATAAAATACTGGAGATATACCCATAAAAGTGGGATGCCTACAATCACCATTATTATATAACATTACTCCCTGGGAATGCTAGTCAATATAATTAGTTAAGACAATAAAATAGTACAGTTAACTATTGGAAAGGAGAAGGCAAATTATCATTATTTGCTGGAAAATAAAAAATAATCAGCTTAAAAAATATTTGAATTAGAGCTCAGAAACTTTTCTACACAATAGCTTTTCTATATATCATCATTAACCTATTCAAAAATATGATTGAAAAGATCGAATTCACAATTTAAAAGAACAAAAAAACAAAAACTAAGTATAAAATTAATATGAAATGTATATGAAGAAAACCATAAAACTTTACCAAAGGATATAAAATAATTGTATTTTAGGTAGTTAGATAACTGCTGTATATTCCTGATTGGAAAGGCTTAATACTGTAATGATGACAACCCTCTCTTTATTTTTCTGTAAAATGAATATAATACTAAAAATCTGCAAAGGATCTATTTGGGAACTTGCCAGCCTGATTCAAAAATTTGTTTAGAAGAATAAATGTAGAAAAGTAAGGAGGAAAATCTAAAAAAACAGCAATTGGGGGAAACACTTGACTTTAGCAGATGTTAAAACACAA